AAAACAGAATAATATTAGATACAAATTAATACTGCAACCTTATTAGTTAATTTGATATGTATTGACCTATATAGATTTTGAAAAATAGAGGGTTATTTAAATATTATATATATTAGTTCCTATAATTTTGAAAAATTAAGGGGGCGGGGTTATGTTAAACAGAAAATCAAATTGGTCTGACCTAATATATAGTCACTATATATGAATCAGCCAATGACATGATAAATAATACTATTTGATTATTTATTAGATAATTCTTTATTCAAATATTCACTAAATCTCTAAACGCATAATGTTAACAGAAATACATTACAATTTTTAATTCCGTTTTAAATTTAGAACCAAGGAATATCGCAAACAATAGAATCAGATCTTTTCGATCCTGAAATTTCTTTGAATCAATCAGATTATTCTGAACAAACTTCTTTTCTTTCATCTTATTTTCAACCTATTGAATTAAAATTTGAGGATATGTCAATTAATGAAGACTTTAAGGGAGGATCATTTGAAAATGCTTACTGTGAATTGCACAATCTGGAAAAAGTACAATGGCCCAGTGATGCTTATCATGAATTTATAGAAATTACTACTAAATATCAGCTTTCAGACCAGGCCACCAATATCTTTATACATATTTCAATAAATTTTCCAATTTGAAAAAATCACCTTTGCCTTCATCAATACGTGTTGGAAAAGAATTTTTGAATGACACAAATATTCAATATACAACATTTAAGGAAATATCAATCGCAACATTCCAAGATATCAAATATATACTCTATTATCGGCCAATAATTTAGGCTATCAAATCATTATTAGTAGTTGATAGTATTAATCATGATCTGGTATTAAACTATGCATAAAGTAGTGAAACAAAAGATAGCATAGAATATTGAATATTTGAAGAACAATATAATTGTGATTGGTAGAAGCAAGAAGAATTCAAACTAATTGCTGGCCAACACCTACTTTCGATAATTCTCTATTCTGATGCTACGGCCTTAGATTATATAGGAAAATCTTCTAAGCATCCAATATTTCTATCTCTTGGTAATATTCCAAACTTTCAAAGAAATAAACCAGAATCAAAGGCGTTAATGGGATATTTACCAATACTAAAAGCCAAAGATTCAAAAACCAAGAATTCTGATAGTTTTAGAGAAGCACAAAGACTTGTTTTTCAGCGATGCTTATCGATTCTTTTAAATCCTATAATTGATGCACCAGAACTTAATTTTGTAGTTTGACAAAACATAATCACATTTATTCTACGAATTTCGGTAATCTTAGCTAATATGCTTAAGGCTAATATGATTATGAATATTTATCAATCATATTCAGCACAAAGACCATGTAATACTTGTCTGGTAACGAAGGATGATCTGAATAATCTAAATCTAAATCCAAATGATATTTTCTAAGAAATTATCAGAATATGAAACAGGCAATCGATACTGGTTGGGCTCAAGAAAACTCAATTCATAATGAACAAAATATATTCTGGTGGATAAAATATAAATTGAAATTTTAGTATTACTA